TTAAATGTAATAGCATCCAAAACACAAAACAACTTCACAAAAACATACAGAATACTGTTTGACCAAATATCTGGCACAGTGGCCCATCCATATTGACAGATGAAATTAACCATCATAAAATGCCCTAATTCAGAACCAGCAGTTGGCATAATGGCTATGTTGCTGGACTCCCGTGTAGTCAACCGTGGTTCGAATCCCGAACCCGACGGCTTAAACTCATGCCGAGTGCATGTGCATGTGTGCCCAAGATCCTGAGAGGAGAATGGAGAAAGGATTGTGGCATGACGACCCCCCCCCCCAGGGGGGGGATTTTTCGCTTTCTGTCTCTCTGTCTCTGTCTTTCTGATGAGCGCACATGCACTATAGCAAAAACCTCTCAAAACAAAACAAAACAAAATGCCCTAATTTATTAAGAACTTTCTCATAAATTCTGAGTTTGTGTTGAATTTTATCAAATGGTTAATGTTATACTATTAGTCTCATCTGATCTATACATTGTTTAAAAAACTGTGTAAGCCTTCTAATTTAAGACCATTTTTGAGTTGTTTAGATAGATCCAACTCGATCAGGAAAAAGAAATGTCTCTGTCACCACCTGGGGCAGAGAGCCAGCCTAGTCCTGGGACTAGTGATGAGACAGTCTATTGGGCCTTCCTATCTCCGCTCTTTGTTTCTGGGCCTGGCCCAAAAGGCTCCATGAAGGGCTTGTGCAATTTTTATGCTATCCTTTGGGTGTGGGCCTGACAGCTGCTAGAGTCACAGTCCTCACTCAGATCAGGGTGGGGCTGACAGGGCCTCTTGGCCCTCGGATAATCAGGGGACTGGGGTAACAGAAGCTGGGGGATGAGACACACACACTCACACATACACACTCACATGCCAGGTATGAGTCTCAGCCCAACCCACTCTGGGCACTGGACAAACTCTCCAAAGCCCTCTTCTTTGCCTTGTTGAAAGCTTCTCAGATGGAAAGGGCTTTTATCTTATTGTACCCTTCTCACCCTTCAGAACATAGGTGCCTGGAGCCGGCCAAAGCCATAGGTTGTGGGTGTAGTCCTCCAGACAGCCAAGTCTTCCCAGGACTTCTGACCCCTTTGTTCCCCCTGACTGTTCCTTCTGACCACTTGTGACCTCTTCCGACTGTTCCCTCAGACTATGCTGTTTGGCAAGTACATTGTCAAATAGTGCGGTCTGAGAGAACAGTCCTACAGACTGCACTCACTTCAGTCACCAGCCACAATTCAGGGGTCCCCACGAACATTTTCACTTCCGAACACCTGGCTGGAAATTTCAGTTCTTATAATCTGTCTCAGGTTTGATCATTTACTAGGAAGACTCACAGAACTCAGGAAAGCACTATTCTTAGGATTACAGCTTTATAATAGTGAAAAAGTACAAATTAAAATTAGCCAAGACAGGACAGAGAGGGGTCCAAACAAGGAGCTTCCAGGCATCCGCCTCTTTGTGGAGTCCTTGACTTCCCTCTAGCTGCAATGTGTGACCATACACAAAACCCATTCCCAACCAGGAGCGTCTACCTGAGCCACTGGTGTCCAGTTTTACTGGGCTCAATCAGATATTGCCTGAATAGTTGCTCCTTAATTTTCAGCCCCTCCTAGAGGTCAGGCTAATACTTTTAGTCTCTAGTACCTCCAGTTGGCCTAAGTCCCTGAGCAAAGACTCTCTCTTCAGATAGGACATTTCAGACCCTAAAGATCGCCTGCCAAGAGGCCAAGTCAAATGTCTCTTTAGGGTAAAGTTAATCCCTTTTTCTTTTTTTTTTTTAAAAGAATTATTTTATTTAACTTTATTTATTTGTTTGTTTTAGTATGACCAGAGAGGGACAGTGTGTGTGTGTGTGAGAGAGAGAGAAAGAGAGAGATAAAGTGCGAAAGCAAGCCTTGAGGTCCAGGACTCGAACTGCAGTTGGCCATGTGGGAGTCCAGCACCCCTAACCACCATGCAACCCGAAGGCCCCAAGTTAATCCTTTACTGCAGATAGGACTTGCTACAAAGCCAGTGCCCAAAAATGCAGAGTGGTGTTGTGGTTAGAAGCACGGGCTTTTTTTTTTTGTGTGAGTAAGGTGGGGTTTTTTTTTTTTTTTTTTTTTTTTTTTTTTTGCCATAGAGTGTGTGTGCTCATTGGAGAGAGACAGAGACAGGGAAAAGGAGAGGGAGAAATCACCCCTCAGAGGTGATAGCCACACCACAATCCCTTCTCCTCCTTTCTCCTCTGGGACTTTGGGCACACACACACACACACATACCTGGCATGATTTTCAAGCCTCTGGGTCCAGGACTCGAACTGTGGTTGGCCATATGGGAGGCTAGCACCTTAACCACCATGCCATCTTCTGGCCCATGGACATTGATTTTGAAAGCTTTTAGTTCCAGTTCTGCTTTTGTCACTTTTGAGTTTAGTGATCTTGAGCAAGTTACTTAACTTGTGGATGCCCACTGGTAAAGACTACTAGGAACATCCCCGTAGCTGCACACATTTGACTTTATCGGTACTTATTGCAACGAAGGAGATTGTACTCCACAGGAAACCATGGAGTATCTCAGGAAGTGGCGTGTATGTGGAGAGGGTAGCTTGCAGGATCTGAGCTTGTATAGGGTGATTTTAGGAATGTTCAAGAAAGTATTGTCCAAAACGCGGTGCTGTCAGGAAGTAAAGGCAACTCAATTGGGTATCTTAACATTCTCATTTAGAGGGCTAAGGGAACAGAGCAGAGCTAAACAGCTAGATTTAGTAAAGAAACAGCAATCTCTGGGCTAGCCCTGTGGCGCAGCAGTTCAGCTCCATGCATAAGGAGCTGGCTCCCACACAGCCCACTGCGGTTGGAATCTCGACCCCAGGGGCTTGAAGAAACAGGGTGTATGTGTGTGAGTGTTTATGTGTGTGGTACCCAAAATCCTGATATGAAGAAATGGAGGGAAAAGGACTGTGGTATGACCACGACCCATGGGGGCAGGGCTCTCGCTCACCGCCTGGCAAGCACACACACCCCTCTGGAAATTAAAAAATAAAGAAAAGAAACTGCAATCTGTGATATGAAACAGGAGAGGGAATGTTTGGTCACTTTTGTGGTTCAGTGATCTTGTTTTTGTTCATGTTCCGACATGTTTATGGTCTTGTTTTGGTCTTGCTCCATCATAATTACATAGCGACCCTATCTGACGTTGGTGCTGTGGGAAAGTTTTGTGTTCATTGGGAGGACACCCTGGCCCAGCAACTAGTGCCAGGCTCGCTCCCAGCAGACAGAGTCAAGGGATGCTTCTTTCCCTTCTCAGCACCCAGTGTCATCACTGGTAGCGTGGAGATGATAATGCAACATATTTAACACGTTAGGCGGCTGTGAGAATTAAGGGAAATAATATGAAATGTCTAGCATAAAACAAAACACAATACCAGTAAATTCCATCATCACTGTTGAAAAATAAGTTTGTGATAAAAAGGGGAAAGGTAGAGAATTAAAATAAAGCCAAATACAAAAGAGACAGACGGAAGAAAGATCCTGAGAGAGAACATTAGATGAGGGGGATCCCTGAGCCAACATCTGTCCTGAAGCTCCCACTATGACTCCTACTGGGACCAGGGCAGCCAGAGTGGTGTTTGAATGTGCATGTGTGTGTATGTGTGCATGTGTGTGTGTGTGTGTGTGTGTGTGTGTGTCCTTAAGTGGGGGAGGTAAGAAGTGTGCCAGCAAAATATAAAAAGGATTATATACCACAGTCAAGTGGGATCTGTTCCAGGAATGCAAGGGAGGTTTAACATCCAGAAATCAATAAAATGTAACACATTAATAGAATACAGGACAAAACCCACACAATCATCTCAGTAGACAGAAAATCATCTGACAAAATTTCACCACTCACTTTCATGACAGAAACCCTCAACAAATCAGGAGTAGATGGTGACTTTCTTGATCTGATCAAAAGATGTCTAAGAAAAACCCACGGCTGCTCTCACACAGAATGGTGAAAGATAGGATGCTTCCTCCCGATATCAGGAACAAGACAAGCATGTCTGATTTTGCCATGTCTCTTGAATGTTGTATTAGAGGTTCTAGTCAGGACAATTAGGCTAGAAAGAGAAATACAAAGCAGTGGAATAAGAAAGAATAAGAATTTCTATTTGTAGATGGCATGAGCTGCATATAGAATATCCCAAGGTAATCAAAAAAAAAAAAAAAAAACTATTAGAGCTAATAAACAAGTTCAGTAAAATTCCAGAATACTGAGACTAGCAGATGGTACAATGGTTATGTCTCTGGATTCACACATGGCCAACCATGGTTCGAGTCCCAGACCTGGCGGGTGCATGTGTGTATGTGCTTGAAATCCTGAGAACAGAATGAAAGAGAAGGTGTTGTGGTGTGGTTATTCCCCCTGGGGAGTGATTTCTCTCTTTCTGTCTCTCTCTGTCTCTCCAGTGAACACATGTACCCTATAGCAAAAATCTCTCAGAAAAAGAAAAAAATATAAGATCCATAATATAAGATCAATCTACGGAACTCAATTGTCTTCCTATAAAAATAGCAATGAACAACTTGAAATTTTAATTAAGAAAATAATTTTATTATTATATTACCCCTAAAAATAAAATACTCAGGAATAAAAATAAATAAGCAAGTACAAGACTTGTACACTGAAAAGAGAAGAGGAAGCAGAGGAGAAGGAGGAAGGTGTGTGTACAGGACACAGTGTGATTCTGATGTAGTGTGACCTGAAGTCACCTGTTAGATCAGGTCATCCCCAGACTTGCCTGTCTCTATTCCTGATATGACACCTCTAGCTTGCACCCAAATTCATTCTGTTCAGGCATGAAAATAATTACATGTAAAAGTTGGTCTGGTTGGACCAGCTATTCTACATACTGGCCTGGAAAAGAGTTTATTTTCAACTCCTCTCAGACCAGCTATGACTCTGGGCAGTGAGACCAACTGCAGAAGCAGCCCCTGCCCAGAGAGCAGGGAGGTCCAGCCAGGGAGGGCTGTGGCTGTGCCCAGTTGCAGATTTGGTTAAACCCCTAATCCTGGATGGTCAGAGTGTGACTTTCAAGGTCCCGGGGCCCTGAGCAATCTCAGGTCTGCACCCCTGCGGGCCTGGCATCCATGGCTCGGTGTTTCAGAGCAGTCCTCAAGGCCTGCAGGAGGGCATCCTGGCTGTTCTGCACGTTGTAGTCACTGAGCTGAAGCAGGCGGTCAAAGTCTTCCTCCTTGTAGGTCATGTTGAATAGGGCATAGGGGGAGGTAGTCCCGGTGAGATCCACTTGGCCAGCCTGGAGCTCCTCAGGGCTGCGTCGGACACCTGCTCAGGGGTGGGAGGGGTCGGGGCGGGACAGAGAAGTGCTCTAGCTGGGCAGGGCTGAGCAGTGGGGCATAGAGGAGGGCTGCTCCCTGCTAAAGTGCTCCTTGCTTTTCTCTAGCTCTCTGTCCCTTGCCCAGAAATAGAACACTATTTTGAGGCATAGAGTTTGATGCTCCCACATTTCCTCACAGCACAATGCTATTCTACTATCGAGGCAACCCCATAGTATCTCTCTCTCTCTCTTATCCTTCCCTAATTTTGCTATAGAGCACTTGTACTGTCTGGAGAGAGACACGGAGAGAGAGCAAGAAAGGAAGTGAGGAAATCACCCCCTTCACACCACAGTCTCTTCTCTTCCATTCTCTTTTTTTGGATTTTAGGTAGGCACGCACAAGCATCCAGCTTGTTTTTCAAGCTACCAGGACTCAAACCATGGAGTCAGTCATGTGGGATCCAGACACTTAAACCCCCATGCCACCTGCTGGCCCCACGGTATCTCTCTACCTCACTCTGTGGTGTGGCGGAAACAGCCAGAACAAGGAGGTCAGCTGGGTGAGCAAATCTCATGGTAGAAACAGGGCACTTTTGCTTTGCAATAACCAGTATTTGTTGAAAGAAAAAATTCTTTAGAATTCTAAGATGTGGGCTGAGCATGTTAAGAGTAAAACTTGAGGGCCAGCAAGTGGTGTGATGGTTGGGGCACTAGATTCCCACATGACTGACCATGGTTCAAGTCCCAGACCTGGCAGCTTGCTTTCTCACTTTCCCTTTTCCTGTGTGTGTGTGTTTCTCTCTCTGGTTAAATTAAAATGATAATGATAATAATAATAATAATCCTTTAAAAAATGAGTAGTTAGATTTGCAATTGTGGAGGAAACTAGAAAACCAGGAATAATGCACGAAGGCAGAAATCATTTTTACCCCACCAAAAAGAGATAAAACTCTAAACAGTTGGTGGGAGGAAAGAATAGGAAATGTGACGACAGTTAAGATTCCTGGAGATATTGAGGAAAAACCCAGCTCTCTGAGAAGGAGTCCCAGTCTGGGCTGGGATAGGATGACAGGCCAATTAAAATCACTGAAACTTGCTCACAGAACAGGAAAGTAGGGGAGCCCTGAGTGGCTAGGGTTACTAGGGATAGGGTGAAGCCAAAGGAGTCTGGGGTCATCACCACCACCATGGGCCTGCAAACAGAGGCCCCTGCAGCAAGGTGGACATCAGCTACAGAGGCCAGGAAGATGTGGCCCCATGATCTAGTGGTTAAGGGAGCTGGAGCTCACATGGCTGACCATACAGCTTGAATACAGGCCCCAGTGGCTTGAAAAACACACCAGGCACATGTGCATGGGTACCCAAAATGTGCTTTCTCCCTCTAACACTCTCTCTCCTTTTCTGTGTGTCTCTTTAGCATGTACACACACCCTCTGGCAAAATGAAATAATAATAATAAATGAAGACTGAGTGGAAGCAGCCGTAAGCCCTGCCTGTCGGACTGTTCCCTGTGCTGAGCATCTGGGGGGCAGCCAGGGCAGTGCCTCTGAGAGACCAGGCTGCCTGGCCATCAGGGGAGGGGCTGCCTCACCAGGGGCTGAGTGGTCCTTGAAGGAGGCGTTGACCAGCGGGAAGTGCAGCAGGACAGGGGCCTCAGGGCAGGCAGGGTCCGAGAAGAGGTGGCACTCCTTGGGTTGACATTGGTCCTCTGGGCTGGGCTCCACACGGGGGAAGGGCAGTCCCCGGGCCCGGCAGTACAGCTCAGTCTGCTGCAGCGCCTGGTGGGGAAAACCAGCCATCCTACATCAGCCTCTAGAAAGTGCCAAACTGCTCCCTCAGCGTCAAGACAAAACCCGGCTCTGCCCTGGCCTGGCCTGGCTATGCCACTCAGAGTCACAGAGAGAATAGAAAGATCCTGGTGGGTTGTAATGCTGTTTGATTAAAACCTTCAGGTGGATTACAGACCCAGCACCCCCACACATAGGATTGCTAGATTGTTCATGTCCCAGAGGCCTCAGTAGGAGATCTACACCTGTACTGTGGCTGACCTCTTCCCCCTGAGCCCCCAAGGGAGGCCTGAGGGATGAGTGTGGTGATGCCCAGCTGTTCCTCTGTGGGGTCGACATGGAGCGCTTCCTCCCTCCCTGTCCACCTGTCGAGGGATCCAAGGGCCCTGCCATTACCACAGCCCTTTCCAGTGGAGGCCCCTGGCAGGAGTCTGTGGATCAGAGCCCGTCACCACTCTCCCACTGGGGACCCAGCAGGAGTGTAGCAGTGACTCAGAGGCCCTGCTGTTCACCCCTGGAGCTTGGTTTGGTTGGGCAGAGGGGTTCCTATGAAGCTACCAGAGGTACCTCAAAGGGTGCGGAGAGGGAATAGTCGAAGGAGAGGATGAGGTCCAGCTTGCGGCCTGGCCGGAACATGGAGGGACAGCTGGTGTTGATGAAGTAGCCAGGGTCCACCAGGCAGAGCTGGGGCTCCTGGGGGGTCAGCTGGCCTGGCGTGGAGTCTAGCTGGCTGTCTGGTGGGAGAGGCAGTGACAATCAGAGGCAGCTACTCTGCCACAGGTGGCCCACCTGTCCCCTTCATAAGGCATCACCCACGTCCTCCTACGTCTGCTGTCCCTCCCTGAATGCACATGCCACCACGGCACTTGCCCATGATCTTCCCCAGGCCTCGTCCTAGAGGTGGGTGCTGTGACCCCCAACGCCTCTGCCAGTCCCTAACAACGGCGCATCCCTCCTCAGGAGCACCGCCTTGCTACCTGGCGACAGAAGGCCGTGACCCTCACCTGCCCAGGTAGAGAAGTCTTTCTGGCCGCAGTAGTCCTGGTGCAGCTGGAGGCCCCGGAGGAAGTTGGAACTGCGGTGGTGCAGCGGCCTGCCCGTCAGGAAGCCCTGGAACGCCTGCGCCAGGGCTGTGCCAGGCTGCAGCCAGTTCTTCAGCCATGAAGAGGCCCCCGAGGAAGCGGGAGGGTTCTTCTCTGCAGCCAGAGAAAAAGACATTGCCCCAGTGAGCGCCTGGAAACATTCGGCCCTCCTCCCCTCAGACTCCATACCCCACAACCACTCATCCCAGGCTCCCTCAGAGACCCCTTTCCTACCAATGTTCCTGATCTTGTCCTTGATATGCTGTTTCCAGGTCTCCCCAGAACTGGTGATGTCATACCAGGCATCCAGCAAGTTCAGGGAGAAAATGTTGCTCCAGATAGCTGAAGGCCAGACCCCCAAGACTGGTCAGCCCCCATGCCCCAGTGCCCTGCCTCCCCCCGCTGGGAAGCCAGTGGTTCCCACCCTTCGGCGCTGATAGAAAATGGGCACGGGGAGAGGGCTGCCCCTGCACGGACTCTTCACCCTGAACCCCTGGCCTAGCTCGGGGCTCTGCCCAGACCCAAGCTCCAGGCATCATATGCTGTCAGAGACCTGGCCTGTGACTGGCCCCAGGGCCTTAAGTGTGATCCCCTCACCTTCCAGAAAGCAGATCCGGGGTTCAGGAAGCTTCTTCATCAGTCGCCCCATGAAGAACTCAGAGCCGAAGAGCTCAGGAGGAACAAAGGCTCCATACTTGAGGAAGCCGACCTCATAGGGGGAGAACTCCACCCACTCTAGGGGGCGGGAAGGAGAGGCAGGAATGTGAGGAGGGGGTGAAGAAGCTCCCACCAGGGCTGAGCACATTTCCTCCCAGCAGGCCTCAGCCGCCCCTGCCTGGCACCAATTCAGCAGCTGTGAGGAACGCTGACCACTCCTCCACCCAGCACCCCAGTCCCCAGCCCCCTGCCTGGCCCTTGAGTCCATCAGCACCACCGCCTTTCCAGAAGGCTGGGCAGCCTGTGCAGGAGTTTCCAGGTTTAATTCTCTGGGGACTCTTGGGGTATAGGGAATTCGGGAGTGTGTGTGTTGAAGGGTGGAGTGGACAGAACAGTACCCTTGAAGTCGAGGGTCTCCAGATTGTTCTCTTTGACATTGAGGCTCAAGTAGAGGGGCAGAGGGTTCTGACCACGCTCCAGGGCGGCTCTCTGTCCTGACAGCTTCTGATCCACCACCTGGGGTGGGAGGGAATGAGGGTTCAAGTGAGGTCAGAGCACCATGGAGACAGCAGCTCTACCAGAACAGGGGCAGGGCACAGGGTAGGGGTGCGGAGCAGGTATCACCCCAGGGGTGGCTATGTGCAGTGCATCCCCACCCCTGCCCCCGAGTTCTGACCAGCCCCACAGGCAGGACCACGCAGTTTATTTGCTGCTCATCAGGGAGGGCCGTCCACAAGGCTTCCCCCCTTTCCCTCTCTCTGGGCTTCTGTCTTTATGGGTTTAAGGGTGGAGTTGGTGTCAATCCTGACATCAGCCGGAAAGGCACCGGGGCGCATGCATGGATGCACACACAAACACTGCTCCCCGGACAGGACCCAGCAGTCCCGTCAGTATACACTGTAAGCGATACCAGGAACGGGCTGCCCAGTCTGGGTTTGTCTTAGTGCAGTTCAAGTTTCACCCCTCCCAAATACTTCCCTGATGTCCTACCCTCCCCTTCCTTGTCCCCTTTTTCTCCTCCTTTGCTCAGTATGAGGTGTACCCTGTTTTTATTCTTGTCTTCTGTTCCTAATCGTCTCCTCACTAACTCTCCAAGCTGTCTTTGCTGGAGAGGACTGCAACTTGCCTTTTGGAGAGCCTCCCTGAGTTCTAGGGGCAGAAAAAGGCCTCACTCTATTCCAAACCAGAGATGAAAATAGGGCTCATCTGAAGCCCCCGCAAGGTTAGCGGAGGTAGCTGCCTAGAATGCCGCCCGCCTGAAGACTCCGCTGCAAAGGTGAACTGATGCCGCCTGCCCTGGGCTGTTTCTGATGGGACAAGGAAGGTCCGTGAATGTGTCTTCCTTCTCCTCAGGCTGAATGAGCTGGAACAGATCTGCTGGGGGTGCTGTCTCTGTCTATCTTTCTGTCTCCCTTATTTACGGAAGAAATACTTAAAAAAAAAAAAAAAAGGGTCAGCCTTGTGGTCTAATTCCATACTTGAGGAAGCCGACCTCATAGGGGGAGAACTCCACCCACTCTAGGGGGCGGGAAGGAGAGGCAGGAATGTGAGGAGGGGGTGAAGAAGCTCCCACCAGGGCTGAGCACATTTCCTCCCAGCAGGCCTCAGCCGCCCCTGCCTGGCACCAATTCAGCAGCTGTGAGGAACGCTGACCACTCCTCCACCCAGCACCCCAGTCCCCAGCCCCCTGCCTGGCCCTTGAGTCCATCAGCACCACCGCCTTTCCAGAAGGCTGGGCAGCCTGTGCAGGAGTTTCCAGGTTTAATTCTCTGGGGACTCTTGGGGTATAGGGAATTCGGGAGTGTGTGTGTTGAAGGGTGGAGTGGACAGAACAGTACCCTTGAAGTCGAGGGTCTCCAGATTGTTCTCTTTGACATTGAGGCTCAAGTAGAGGGGCAGAGGGTTCTGACCACGCTCCAGGGCGGCTCTCTGTCCTGACAGCTTCTGATCCACCACCTGGGGTGGGAGGGAATGAGGGTTCAAGTGAGGTCAGAGCACCATGGAGACAGCAGCTCTACCAGAACAGGGGCAGGGCACAGGGTAGGGGTGCGGAGCAGGTATCACCCCAGGGGTGGCTATGTGCAGTGCATCCCCACCCCTGCCCCCGAGTTCTGACCAGCCCCACAGGCAGGACCACGCAGTTTATTTGCTGCTCATCAGGGAGGGCCGTCCACAAGGCTTTCCCCCTTTCCCTCTCTCTGGGCTTCTGTCTTTATGGGTTTAAGGGTGGAGTTGGTGTCAATCCTGACATCAGCCGGAAAGGCACCGGGGCGCATGCATGGATGCACACACAAACACTGCTCCCCGGACAGGACCCAGCAGTCCCGTCAGTATACACTGTAAGCGATACCAGGAACGGGCTGCCCAGTCTGGGTTTGTCTTAGTGCAGTTCAAGTTTCACCCCTCCCAAATACTTCCCTGATGTCCTACCCTCCCCTTCCTTGTCCCCTTTTTCTCCTCCTTTGCTCAGTATGAGGTGTACCCTGTTTTTATTCTTGTCTTCTGTTCCTAATCGTCTCCTCACTAACTCTCCAAGCTGTCTTTGCTGGAGAGGACTGCAACTTGCCTTTTGGAGAGCCTCCCTGAGTTCTAGGGGCAGAAAAAGGCCTCACTCTATTCCAAACCAGAGATGAAAATAGGGCTCATCTGAAGCCCCCGCAAGGTTAGCGGAGGTAGCTGCCTAGAATGCCGCCCGCCTGAAGACTCCGCTGCAAAGGTGAACTGATGCCGCCTGCCCTGGGCTGTTTCTGATGGGACAAGGAAGGTCCGTGAATGTGTCTTCCTTCTCCTCAGGCTGAATGAGCTGGAACAGATCTGCTGGGGGTGCTGTCTCTGTCTATCTTTCTGTCTCCCTTATTTACGGAAGAAATACTTAAAAAAAAAAAAAAATAGGGTCAGCCTTGTGGTCTAATGCTTAAGGAAGCCAGATCCCACATGGCGGATTGTGGTTTGAACCCCTGCCCCAGCAGCTTGAAAACCTGCCAGGGGACCAGCAGATGGCATAGCAGTTACATTGCTAGCTGACCGCAGTTTGAGTCCTGGACACAGTAGCTTGAAACTCCCGCTGGGTACGTGTATGTGCATGCTCAAAATCCCAAGAAGAAAATGGAGGGGAAGGGATCCCCCCCGAGGGGGTGATTTCTCACTTTCCTTTTCACTGTATCTGTCTTCCCCCTCCCTACCCCCACCAGCAGCTCATGAACCCTAAAGCAAAAAAAAAAAAAAAAAGTTGATTAAAAAAAAATTTTTTTTTTAATTTTTAAAAAAAGAAAGAAAAGAAAACCTGCCAGGCACTTGTGTGCATTGTCCCAGATCCCAACAGGACAGAGGAATGAGGACAAGGGACAAGGGCATGACCACACCCCACTAAGATGCTTTTTTCGGCTTCCTTTCTCTCTGTCTCTCTGTCTCCCTCTGGTGAACACAGGCACTCTTTGGCAATTTGAAAAAAAAAAAAAAAGAAGAATGCATAGATGTCCAATAATACCACAAGAATATTTATTATTGTAAACCATAAAAACTAATCAAGGTTGTCTCTAACAATGACTATAAACCTTATATAGTATATAAAAATCATGTGTTAAGTCATTACTAGAGGATCAATGGTAATTAAATAAAAGTCTTCTTTATAGCCTAGGATCAAACCACCTTTTCTAATACCTCATAAAGTCGAATCTACTGAAACTAGGATCTCCTATTCCACAGTAACTGGTTGCTGCCAGCAGGCAGAGGAGTCAGTAACTAAAATGCAACACCTTCAAAACTGAATATGAACTTAAACAGTAGATCCAAAGAATGCATGTGTTATTACAATAAAAATAGTTCAAGGGGCCAGTAGGTAGCATAGTGGTTAAGATGCTGGACTACTACGTGGTCAACCACTGTTCGAGTCCCAGATCTGGTGGCTTGAAAATCAAACCGGGTGGGTGTGCATACATGCCTAAGATCCCAGAAGGAGAATGGAGGAAAAGGGATTGTGGTGTGGCTATCCCCTGGAGGCTGATTTCTCACTTTGTCTCTCACTGTCTTTGTCTCTCTCTAGTGGGTATATATATCCCTATGGCAAAAGCCTTAAAAAAATAGTTCAAGTAATTATGTTGGTTTTTTAAATTCAATGTCATTTCAAGCAAAATCCCAGCAATATTTATTATGAAACGTGACTAGCAGATTCTATTATATAATTAGAAGAGCTGGAGGCCAAGAGTAGTCAAGCTAATTTAGAAGAAGAGCCAAGAATGGGGTGGACAGGGGCAAACTTGCCCAACAGATGCCAAGGTCAATTACAAAATGTTAGTAATTGGGGTGCAATTGGCACAGAGAAAGACCTGGCTGCTCAGGAAGAGTCCCATGATATCTGATTCATGATTTATGACAGAAGTGTAGTTCAGATTGTTGTCTTTCAATCAGCAGCAGTGCAGATTATTGAAAAAAATTCCATAAATTAGACTGAAAAAATTTGCTATCCATATGAGAAAAAAATGGGATCCTTATTGACATGATATTTGAAGATAAATTACGGGTAAATTTAAGTCCTATTTGTAAGAAACAAATCCTTAAGCTCTTTATAAGAATATATACGAAGGGCCAGCAAGTGTCATAGTGGTTAACGTACTAGACTCCCACATAGCTGACTGCAGTTCAAGTCCCAAACCTGGCAGCTTGAAAATCATGCTGGGCATATGCATGCCCAAAGTCCTGAGAGGAGAATGGAGAAGGGATTACAATGTGGCCATTCCCCTTGGGGGAGCGGTGCTTTCTTATTTTCCCTCTCTCTGTCTCTCTCCGGTAAGCATATGCACCCTGTGGCAAAAACCTCAAAAACGAAAACAGAAAAACAAAGAATAGATAGGACGGTACACTGACTCTGCGGTACAGCAATAATGCACTGCTCAAAAGAAACTGCATCTCACGGGGCCATCATGGTTTGAATCCCCAACCGGGTCAGCCTGAAACAAACATACCAGGTACATGCATGAGAGTCCAAGATCTGACAGGTCGGAGGGCTGAAGGAAGACTGTGGTGTGACCAGACTCTGAAAGATACTCCTCTCTTTCTCTCTCTCTCTCTCTCTTTCTCTCTTTCTCTCTCTCTCTCTCTTTCTCTCTTTCTCTGTTTCTCTCACGTGTGTGTGTGTGCATGCACTCCTCTGTCATGAGTGAAGAAAAAAAGGAGAGGGTAGGCCCCATAGCACAGTGGTCAAGCACTATCTTATAGAGAGCCAGATCCCATATGGCTGACCACAGTTGAAATCCCAGCCTTGAAGGACTGAAAGCACAACACGGGTGTGCACGTATGCTAGTGAGCATGTGTGTGCTGGTGAGTGCACCTGCACTCTGGCAATACAAAAAGAGAAAGGAAAAAAAGAAATGTATAGGAAGGCATTTAATAACTTCGGGTAAAGGGAGAGAAATACTCTCAAAAGCACACATCAGGGACCAGCAGACAGTGTGATGATTAAGGACGCTGGACTCCCACATGGCTGACCATGATTCGGGTCCTGGACTTGGCGACTTGATTTCTCACTTTCTCTCTCTCTTTCTCTCTCACTCACTCTGTCCCTCTCTGGTCAAATTAAAATAACTAAATAAATCAAGTTAAATTAAAAAACTATTCTTAAAAAAAAAAAAAAAGCACACATATGGGACCAGCAGTTAGCGTAATGGCTATGTTGCTGGACTTCCATGTAGTCGACCACAGTTCACGTCCCGGACCTGGACCTGGTGGCTTAAAACTCACACCGGGCGCGTGTGCGTGCATGCCCAAGATCCTGAAAGGAGAACGGAGGAGAAGGGATTGCGGCGTGACCATCCCCCCTGGGGGGTGATTTCTCACTTTCTGTCTCTCTATCTCTCTCTGTCTGTCTGGAGAGCGCACGCGCCCTATAGCAAAAACCTCTCCAAAACAAAAAAGCACACATAATAAAGGAAAAGAATGATAAACTGGATTAGATTAAAATTATGCACCAGATCATTATAGTTGATAAAGGATTAATATCCAAAACAAAGAATTTACATAAAACAATTTAAAAATACAAATTAAGTAGCAAAATAGAAAAGAAGTTCAGTGGATAATCTATAGAAGAAGCCTGAATGGTATACATACTTGAAAATAAGATCGGTCTCACTAAAAATTAAGAACATACAAAACTGCAAAAACTCTTTCATCATCCATAGATGGCAAAATGTTAAAGTCTGCAGAAGATACAGGAAAAAAGGAATTATGTATCCACTTAGAGTGGGAATATAAATTAATACAATGTTTTACTTTTTTTTTAATTGCCAGAGGATGTGTGTGCTCACCAAAGACAGAGAAAGAGAGAGAGAAGGAAAAGTCACCCCCCAATTAGCATGGTCACCCTGCAATCCCTTCCTTCGTTTCTCCATCCCGTCAGGCTTTTGGGCATGCGCGTATGCCTGGTATGTTTTCAATACGCCAGGGCCAGCTTCAAACCACAGTCTGCCACGTGAAATCCAGATCCCTTAACCACTAGGCCATGGAGCTAGCCCTTCCTAATAAACATTTCTAACTAAAGAGTAATAAGAACAACTGCTATTTTCTAACAGTACGGTACTTGCCAGTAAGAATAAAATGTAAAGAAAAAAATCCAAGGCAAATTCAGTTTGGTTAGGCTTTTTTTTTTTTTTTTTTTTTTTTACTTGACTAACATGTGCTTGCCAGAGAGACGGAGAGACGAAAAGTGAGAAAAAAAAAAGTGACTTCACAGGGGGTATGGCCACACTGCATTCCCTTTTGCTCCATTTTCTCAGGACTTTGGGCACGCATGTACATGTGCACGGTGTGTTTTAAACCACTGGGTCCAGGACTCAAACTGTGATTGACTAAGTGGGAAGTCCAGTGATGTAACCATTACACCATCTGCTGGTCCCTAGTTTTGGTTGGCTTACATGATAATTACTCTTTTTTTTTTTTTTTGAGAGGTTTTTATTATAGGGCGTGTGTGCTCGCCAGAAAGACAGAAAGAGACAGACAGACAGAAAGCGAGAAATCACCCCCCAGGGGAGATGGCCACACTGCATTCCCTTTTGCTCCATTTTCTCAGGACTTTGGGCACGCATGTACATGTGCACGGTGTGAGTTTAAGCCACCAGGTCCGGGACACGAACCATGGTCGACTACATGGGAGGCCAGCGACATAGCCATCACGCCAACTGTTGGTCCCCAATAATTATTCTTGGTCACATTCCTGATACCCTAAAATGAGGAAGAATCTTCTATTGCTATATTTGATCATTTATTCTTTTTGGTTATACGTGTTAAAGACACTTTTTGTCTTTTTGTTTGAAATGTTTTTGAAACTTCTTTTGGATTGGGATATGTGGTAATATATACATATGTGTAATAAAAAGTTATGTGTTCAGGTTTTTTTTATGTTTTTAAGATAATAATAAAGAAATATAAGAGCTGGCCCTGTCATCTAGTGATTACGGGATCCTACAAGCTGACCAGGGTTTGAACCCCTACCTAGTGGCTTAAAAAATATTCCAGGTGTGTGTGTGCGCATGCCCCAAATCCTGACAGAATGAAGAAATGGAGAAGGGATTGCCGTGTGACTACGTCCCATTGTGGGGTGCTGCCTCTCTCCCTACCCACATCACTCTCTGTCTCGCTTTGGCAAGTGTATGCACCCTCTGGCAATTAAAAATAAATAAGTAAAAATTAAAAAATTGTTATGAAAAAGAAATACAATAGGTAACATTTAGACTTTGCTTACTCTATGCCAGCGTGCCACTGAGTGATCCCAACAGCTCTATGAGCTAGCAGTAAATGTTATTCCCGTTGACCAGATGAGTCAGCTGAGGCACAAAGAGGTTAAGAGACTCATCTATGTACACATAGCTAGTAAGAGGCGTTGGGATTAGATCCCAAGGAATCCAGTTCCCTGTGCTTTCAATGCTACCCTGAAGAACAATACCTTTTATACTGCAGTGTAAATAAAAATGGTTCGAGCAATCTTACTGACTGGAACAGTACAAAGGCTTTGTTTGCTTAGCTTTGACACTGACTGATCCCTGGCTCTTGGGAGATTCAGAAATGTCTGTGTCATGGCAATTAACTGAAGAACCTGCTTAGGCGCCCCTACCTGACCGTGCAGTGTAAACTCCAGGACCAGGGCCCACAGGTCCACAAAGGTCGTGGGGTGACCCTGCTGGGAACGCAGCTCCAACTCTCGTCGGTAGCTTGCCAGCTGCTCCAGGGAGAAGGCCTCCAGCTTGCTCTTGGCCAGGTGCTCCCGGGCGTGTGTGATGGGTCCCTCAAGGTCCCGCTGGGACCACTCAGGGTCTCCATACAGGTGGGCCATAGTCCTGGGAGAACAAGGAGACAGGATAGTAGGAGGAGGGCCCAGTACAGGCCCCTGCAACTCCTCCCTCCTATCCTCCAGCTTCTCCCAGCAAGTCAAGTCTCCTGCATTTTGAAAATGTCTTGGGGCTTTCTCTCCCCCTAGATGAGCACAGTCACATGATGCGAGCCACAGATGGGATTGTAAGTTTTCTTGTAATCACATTTTTAAATAGTATACAGAAACCAGTAAAAATTAATGTTTAAAAAGAATGATTTTATTTAACTTTATTTATTATTATTATTATTTTTGAATTTGACCAGAGAGGGAGACAGAGTGAGAGAAGGAAAGCGAGAAAGAAAGCCACTAGGTCCAGGACCCAAACCACAATAGGCCACGAGGGAGTCCAGTGCCCTTAACCACCACACCACTTTCCAGCCCTGTAAAAATTAATTTTAATAATATGTGTCATTTTATTTGTTATATCCAAAAATTACAATTTCAACATGTAATCAATATAAAAAGTTATTGGTATAATTTATATATTTTTCTAAGTAAGTCTTCAAAAGTCACTGTCTTGGGGCTGGCAGGGTGGTGGTTAAGGGCGCTAGTCTCCCACATGGCTGACCACGGTTCAAGTCCTAGACCTGGTGGCTTGCTTTCTCACTTTCTCTCTCTTTTACTCTCACTCTATCCCTCTCTGGTCAAATTAAAATAAATAAATAAATGGATAAATAAGGTTTAAAAAATTCTTTAAAAAAAGTCACTGTCTTAATAACACATCTTGGTCTGGGTGAGCCATATTCTGAGTGGCCAATAACCACATGTGGCTACTGGTACCACACAGGACAGCAGAGTTCTAGATGCTAATCCCAGCTTCCTGGGTGTGTCCTGAAGTCCTTTTAGACTCTGCTTGTCAGCAGCCATTACCTAAACTCCTCTGAGGACCTCTCTCTTCTCTTACTCCTTAAAATAAAAGTCACATTGGGGCCAGCAGATGGCATAGTGGTTACATTGCTGGACTACCACATGGTTAACCGTGGTTCAAGTCCTGGAACCAGTGGCTTAAAAATCACACTGGGTGTATATACATCTGTGGGGCCAAGATCCCAGGAAGAGAATGAAGGAGAAGGGATTGTGGCCAACCTTCTGGGGAGGAGGGTGATGTGTCACTTTCCCTCTCACTGTGTCAGTCTCTCTCTCTCTCTTTCTCTCTCTGGTGAGCACACGCGCCCTAAGGCAAAAACCTTTTAAAAATAAATAAATAAAATAAAAATAAAAGTCACATTAAAGTCACGTTCCAGTAAGAAAGGAATGGATCTCTTAACAGTGAAGGGTTCTACCTCGTCATAGACGGGGCAGGAGTGTAGGGAGGTAATGCTGTCTTTAGGTAAAATACCATCTCTTGACCTCAATTTCTTTGTCTATATGGATGGTGTGAGGAGAATGTTGTGAGGATTCAATGAGACAATAACAATGAAAGGGGGAGAAAGAACTACCACTTTAGAGCTCTGGGTATGTGCCAGGCATTATGTGAAGCGTTTTTGTGGGCTCCGTCACCCCAATTCTATGGAGCATGTGCTATCATTACCCCCTTTTCGGAGATGAGTCAACTGAAATCAGAGTCCGTAAGGGCTGCAGGCAGTGAGGCCAAGACTCAAACACAGCTCAGCGGGACTGGCCACCTTTACATCTGGGAACGAACCTTCTGTTACCTCACTCATGGCAGGATGTGTTCTGTGTCCACCAACCCCCCCAACACCTGGTCACCTCTGCCCTCCCAGTGCCCAGAGTGCTCACCACGTAGAGCCTGAGGTGCCACTGAAGTAGGTCACACAGTCCAGGAGGCCCAGCTTCTGCAGGGCCAGTAGGTGGCCATAGAGCGAGGTCATGGCCCGGGCGCCTCCTCCTGTAGCCATGATGCCCACGACAGGGACCTGGATCACACGAAAACTCAGGCTGGCTTAACGAGGACAGGCAGGAGCTGCCTGGCCCCCATCCTGCTCCCGGCCTCCAGATGAAGGACACCTGGTCAGGAGCTGATGAATTAGGGTTAGAGCTGGACCTAGCCCCCACCCAGAAATCCACAGCTCTTTGCCCAGGACAGAACCCCAAAGCTTACCCATGCCTCCCTACCTCCCCACATGCCCACTCTTCGTTCTCTGCTGACTGGAGTGTCCGGAGAGGCATAGGAACCAGGGATTTCCTCAAGTCCGGTACACCCCCATGCCCCTGGCCCCTCCAGACCTCATGCTCCTGCAGGTCTCTGTCCAGCTGCAGGGCCCGCTTCAGGGCCTTGGCCACAACCTGCTTCCTCCTGCTCAGGAAGATCTGCTCCTCGGCACAGGGTTCGAAGCCCAGATGCACGGCCAGCTCCTTGGGGCTGGGACAGAGGAGGATCCAGGGGTCAGGGACATCAGCATGGCTGAGCCACTGGCTGGCCAAGCTCACACAAGCTGACAAATATCCTCCTGCTCCAACCCCAAGGGTCATTCTTTTCCATAGCACTCTCCTCCTCTAGGACCATCTCCCACTGTTCCCCACAGAGATAAATGTCCCTTACCAGTTCTCAGCCTTGAGCTGCAGCCTTACTCCTGGGGACTGAAATTAAAGCAAGAGACCCTGCTCAGATTGTCCCAGACCCTGCAGAGGACACGGGCATCCTCCGGGCCTTGGACCGTGGCATCCCCTGTGTTCATTCCCACTGGCACTTCCGGTTGAGCTCACTCACATTTGTAGCAGGAACATCGATGGTCACCTCTTCCTTCATGGCCAAGGGCTTCAGGGGCACAGAGAGTTGACTAGCTGAGTTGTCCCAATTCCAGACGCTGCCCGTGGAGCTCTGGAGAGAAGACTCATTCATTCAATCATTCAACAAATCCTTCCTGAGTATCTAGACTGCACTCTAGACAGACACGGTCCCTCCCATCATGCAAAAATAATGACAATATTTATAACAATATATTTATAATGACTAACAATCACAACATAATAAGCGCTAAAATGTACAGCAAAGGCAACGCTCTCACTACGCTGCATGCATACACTTATAAAGAAGCAGGTGATTGGCTGATGCTGCTAAGTGGGAGGGAAATGAGCAGTGCGATGTGATCAAGTATCTGAAAGGGGGTGTGTCGGGGCACTCTGATGTGGGGAATCCAGGCGGGCTCCTCTGAAGAGGTACCATTTGACCTGAGATGTAAAGGGGCGTTGAGGAAGAGGAAGCCCTGGAAGGAGACAGAGGGGAACCCTGCCAGCCGCTGGCATGTCGGAAAAACACTGAGACAAGCGTGGCCAGAGCGTTGTGAACAGGGGAGGGAGGGGCACGGGTCAAACAAGGCAGCAGGGGCGGGAGGGCATGGGCAGGGTCTTGTGGGCACAGCCCCCCCGACCCCCTGTAATCCTCCCTGTCTGCCAGGGTATGTGAGTAACTGACACCATACCCTGGAGAGGCTGACAAGGCCACAGGGGCCTGGCCTCAGCAGGGGAAGGCCCAGGAGGGGTCCAGAGCAGCCACAGCTGGCAAAAGGCTGGGGCTGGCAGGAGAATTCTGACCCACCCTCAGGCGCCCACTCAGCTCTGTCTCTTGGGCCGCCATGTAGTGGAAGCAGAAGGCAGAGGCTGGGCCCAGGGCAGTCGTCTGCGTGTCTTCATACGACCCCTTGAGTACCAGCTCCAGCTCCAGTTGATGTGGATCTGGGGAGGGAGTGGGGCGTCAGCAGGCAGGGAATGAGAGTCCAGCATCTGGTTCAGACCTGGTCACTGGTGGCCCTGCCTGGACAGGGTGGACGCTGGGGGGCTGGACCATGAGAAACAGGATTCTGAAAAGGGCCCTCCCTAGTCTGCGGGTCCCAGAGCCCCCAGGGAACTCCCACCTCTTGCGACATACTCTCTTCCTGTCCAGAGGAGACATGTTGCCTCCTGAGCCGTGTGGGTGAGAAGAGAGAGGCAAGCACTACCCTCTGCTCAACTCTGCCCTGTGTGGGTCCCCAGCAACCCTCGCCTACCCCTGTTCCAGGCAGAGTCCGGACCCGGCTCTGAGCAGGCCTCACCTGAGACCACGGCAGAGCTCCTTGCGCTGTCCAGACGCACGTCCAGGCATGACAGCTCTCGGGCCTGGGGTGGAACACATCATGAGTGTGGGCTCTGCAGGCCCAGCTGAGCTCCCCTCAGCCTCTGAGCCCACTGTCCCCAATCCACCACACATGCAGGACAAGGAGTGGGGCACGGAATGGATGACTGGGTGCAGAAACCCTTCACCTTGTCTCTGATCCCATGCCACTGCTAAACCCAATATTCCTACACAGCCAGGAGCAAAACATCTGGAGCCTCCGGAAGCTGCCTGCTCTTAGACATAGGGCCCTCCATCTCACTACAGCGACCCCAGGTGGTGGATGCAAACCCCTGGCCTGCAGGATGATGGGAGGGGAGTCTGAGACAACGTGCGTGCCACTCAGCTGGCCTGCAAAGGGGCCTTCTCGCTGGCCAGCACGCCAGCTGAGCCTGCAGCCCACTTTTGCCAAGGAACTTTCACCTCAGCACCGCTGAACCCAACAACTTACTGCTTGCTGGTCTCCATCCCCTCAGATAAGAGGCAGCTGCCATGGGTTTGGCTTTGTGTGTGTGTGTGTGTGTGTGTGTGTGCATTTTAAAAAAGGTAATAGTAGTGTATCGGGAACCAGCAGTTGGTGTAATGGCTATGTCGCTGAACTCCCACGTAGTCTACCGCGGTTCGCGTCCCAGACCCGGTGGCTTAAAACTCACGCCGGGCGCATGTGCGTGCGTGCCCAAGATCCCGAGAGGAGAAGGGAGGAGAAGGGATTGCGGTGTGACCACCCGCCCTGGGGGGTGATTTCTCGCTTTCTGTCTCTCTGTCTGTCTGGCGAGCGCACGCGCCCTATAGCAAAAACCTCTCCAAAAAAAAAAAAAAAGGTAATAGTAGTGTATCAAACAGGGATTTGCACACAACTGTATATCTCCTCGTTTTGTGCTCTAGGTGCCTTCCCACCTGGCCCTGGCTCCCCTCAGCTCCAGGTTAGGCTCCTGCAGGGGTCCAGGGCCACACTTTAAATAGAATGATTCTCATACACCGCTCGCCGCCTTGTGGTCATTCCTGTTCACTGCAACTCTGTGAGCTTACTGGTTTGGGAGAGCCGAGGACTCTCCACCCTCACAGAGGAGCTGGTTACCCCTGAGCCTGTCCTGATCACCTTGAGTGGAAGCTCACCACACTGGAAACACCCTGAGCCTCAGTGACCTCAGTAGTAACAACCCGAAGGTGGGCCGGGCTTGCATGAGTGTTTCATACCTTCCAGGGCAGAACTCAGTCCCTAAAAACTGTGAGGTCATCACACATGACTCAGTGCCGTCAGGAAGCACCCAAAACCTCCACAGTCGCTCAGCCACCCAGCCTCAGGTCAGACCCTCCTCCAGTAGAACCCAATCTGCCTTCTCTCCGGGTGCCCCTAGATGCCAGAGCCCTCCAAGACCCACAGCCCCGAGCAACTGCCTTGCTGGGAAGCTGGGTGGTGGGGATCTTACCACAATCCCTTCTGGTCCCCACCCCAGGCAGCTCCCCACCCCCAAGTGTCTCCCCTAAGCCAGAGGGAGGCAGTTACCACGAGAACACTGTTGGTGATGAGGCTTTCTGGACGATCTGACCTGGAAAATTCAAACATACACAGTCCAGCCTCACAAAGGCAAAGACTTCCCCCTTGACCTGCCACCCTCACGTTTCCCGCCCTGGTGGGGTCTCCCTGGGGGACGCCGAGGGCTCTCTAAGTCCCGGATAAGATTTTTGGTAAGAGGGGATGCTTCTGCAGAAGGAAGTTCAGGGCAGAGAGTCGGCAGAGAAAACATGGTCTTCCTCTCCTCCTTTCTCTAAGAGGGTCTCCCCCCACACACCTCTCTGGCAGGGGTGGGGAGAAGAGGAACAGCACATTAGGCCGGACTGCCCAATGGGGAAAGTGGGTCAGG